TTCTTTCTGGTTGTTCGACTTTATTTTGGACCAGGAAAATGATATTACCGTTAAAATTCTTATCTTTTTCTGGCATTACTCACTCTTCCTACTGATTTTCAGTCTTAAAGTTAAAGCCTTTGATTTGATTTGGATGAATCGTGGAACAAAAGATCTTCTTTAGTCACAGTGTTTGACTTAGCGCCTGGTTTTTATCTTTACCTACATTATTTGACTTATATCATCACAGTTTAGGGTAAACCACTGATATTATTAATACAGTGTAATTTTACTTATATCTTAATATACTAATCATTTTTTTTATTATTCTCAACCATTTATAATGTTGTATCTCGTTGGTATAATATCTTCCTATTAATTATTACAAATATCAATATATAAAAAATGCCTATCAGACTACTACATCAAGAACTTCAAACTATTGCCAGTACATTCATTTATAAACTACACCCTTTAAACAGTGTTTATCTATTATAACTTTTTAAATCTCAATCAAAATCAAAATTTGTTTACTTCTGTTTTGATCATTTGTTTATTTCTAATCTAAACAAGTGGGAATTTTTAATTCAGAAACACTTCAAAAACATAAAAAATCCATAGCTTAACCTTAAAATTGCTTTAAAATAAGCGTAGATAAGCATATACAAAAAACTTTATCAAACAGCATGGAAATATGTTTGTAGTACCGAATGTGAATAATGCATGGAATATGAGCAGTAATGGATTAAAGTGGGGAATTTCATTTATATGAGAATATATTAAAAGTTGCAATTGAATATTTTTGATATTGAAATTGTTAATAATATGAGAATACAAAATCTGTGTATTTTAACTTAATATTGTTCTTTGGATTTCGAAGTACAGACACCTAATTAAAGAGAAAAAACAATTAATAATTTTAACAACTCCGATTTATAAGTTTTCTCATATTAAAAGTTATTAATAATTTCCGAGGTTGCCTCTTCGTTTTCATTGGAGTTTTGTTTTTTATGGTAGGTTCCAATCCCCACTCGCAACCTCATATATTCATAAGAAGGATTTCGCTAAAGACATTAGTTCACTACGCATGTATTATTGTAGCTATCCAGAAGGGGACCACGTGGAGGCTGTCTGTCAACTTGGAGAGAACAGGAACAAGGATCGCGCTGGCATTTACCAAGTTGAATGCAATCAGACATATATGTTCACTTCCTCCTCCCCTATATAATTATATAGTTTTCAGTATTTTCATTCAAAAAGTGCTCAGGATATATATTCACTTCGTCCTCCCCTATATAATTATATAGTTTTCAGTGTTTTCATTCAAAAAGTGCTCAGGAATATATTTACATATCTAAGAATTATGGACAAAGTAAAAAACAGAAGATGATAACCATTAGAAAGTAGTAAATATTTTGTTATATTGTAAATATCTATTTGTCAATATACTCGTAATTAAGATATTTATTTTGGTTCCGTATTTTCACAGTTATATTTAAATTTAAAAAAATCTGAATATTGCCATAAAACAAGGATTACTTTAATAACAAAAAAAATTAGGTCAACATAAAAGGCAGGTTAATAATCAATTTTTACTCCTATACAAATTATTAATATAGCATACATAAGTTATATATCTGCAACGAACTAACCCAACAACTTGGGTTAGATATTTTGAAAACTGCTCTTCCTCAAAAATTTTTATTAATTACGATATCGTTTATATAACATAACGTTAACTTGTTTAGATATTGGAGAGATCAATAACGTAACAATAAATAATAAAGAGTTCGATAGTACTTATATATTGTTTGGAATTTTATAGCTGTTTTCTAGAACTGGGCTAATAATTATAATACAATAATGTAATAATATAGTAATATAATAATATAACAATATAAACAAATATAAAATTAATATTATATTTATATATATATAACTGCATATATATATAATTTACATTAAATTTTTATATTATCAGTATAATATTAATTTTATATTAATTATATTATTATATTATACATATATATATTATATATATAATATATATTATATGTATAATATATATTATTTATGTATTATATTATATAGATTTTATCATAATCTTATTATATATATTATTCTGTATATATTTATTTATATTCTTCAATATAACATATTTTCGAAGAATATCAAGAATTTATAAAGTTATTCAAACCATAATTGAGTTATCTGAAAATATTATTTTATTAAAAATTTTTTATTAAAAAAAAAATTAAAATTCATTTAAAGCAATAAGTAAAATATTTTAATTATTTAACTTACAATTCAATTATGTTTAAATGTAGAACATTCACTATCAACCATCAACCCAAAACTATTCGGAATATGTAATTTAACGAATTAAACTGAAATTTTGACAGTTTTTTGGGTTTGGACGAATTTAAAGCTACCACTCCAAATGTTTGTTCATTAGTTTTGACTCATCAATCATAATGTTACTTAGCAGGAATGTTGTGTCAATAAGAGTGAAAAATGTTTGACATTTTAAATTATTAATATCAGTTAATGACTCATTGAGACGGCGATTAACATTACTCCATAAGCCACAAACAATGCAAACAGTTTGGGGACGAAAATTTCATTAAACATTCGAAGTTATTTTAAATTACAGATACTCGTTGCATTCTCAACACATGAATGTATAAAAAGAGTTCTAAAGTCAACAAGAATTTTTAAAAATTGGTATTTTTAATAAGACTAACATAATTGCTAACATTATCCCCTTCAACTTCAATATATATATAGATAATCACTTTCCAATTTATGAATCATATACTTGTAGATGTGTGGTTTCTATAGACCTATAATTCTTGGTTTAAAGAAAATTATTTTCCACGAAAAAATTTTTTGTCGTAAGAGCGGAACTAAAATGTTTCGAAAATTTTGACACAGAAGAATTCCTAATAGATGTCCTCCCTATCAAATATTTGCACTACTTCGAAAAAATTATGTCACTTTATATCTCAACTTAAAGGCGTATTACAACTATACTTTGTTTTGTTAAAGCATAATATTTAATAAATCTTTACCCTATGTTAGTTAATACCGACCAGTTTAACAGTTTTAGGTTAGTGTCAAGAGAAGCACTTTTATCGCAAACGTGTCAAGGCCTTTTTAGACTACCATTCCTTCTTAAGTTTGGTTTACCCGCTGCATCAAAGCAAAAAGTAATATTTCATGCCACCGCCTCTCTGATGCTTTATAGACTATGATATATATTTGAGTAGGGTTTACAAACGCTTGGTCTCAGGCCACTACCAGTCGTCTTCATAAACACTACTAATCCATAAAATATTGCAATTTCGCTATTAACGATATAATTTTTTTGAA